GAGGATGCTCTTCAACTTCGCGACTTTCCCATTAGAAGACAAGGTCCAGGCTCATCCTGTTTCAGTGTACTGGGAATGTACGACAAAAGGGCACAAAATTTGCTGCCAAAAGCAGTGCGCGGACCCTGTTTGGGTGTACTGGAAATGTTCAACAAAAGGTCACAAAATTTGCTGCCAAGAGAGAGTCCTATATATGTGCTTCAGGACATCTATTACAATTGGAACATACTTGCAAGCGCAGGCTGTGCGGAAGGTTCCCTACGTGCGGCGCACACGCCCAACCGATCCCGTGCAGCGCACGACGTGCGCGGGGAACGACCCGTCACCCCCCTCAGAAAAAAAAACAAGAAGGCCGGGGGTCAAAACGGTGCGTTTGAGGCCCCCCACCAAAAATATAATCGGGATGATTTTTTTTTTTACAGGAGTGCTGCCTCACCTTGCTCCTCCTCCCCGTCCTCATCCTTCGTGTCCTCCTCTCTTGTCCTCTTCGTCTCCTCCGACTCGTCCTCCTCCTGCCCTTCCTCATCCTCGTACGTCCTCATCTTCCATGCCTCCTTGTCTCCTGCCCTTCCTCGTGTCCTCCCCTTCCTCGCCGTCCATGTCTCCTCCTCCTCCCACTCGTCCTCCTCCTCCTGCCCTTCCTCTTTTCCCTCCATCCATCTCTTCTCATCCCCCATCTCGACGACGACTCCTTGTCGTCCTCACTATCCTCGTCGTCGTCCTTGTCCACATCCTCCTCCACCTCTCCATATCCCCCTCTCCTCGCTATATCCCTATCTTCCTGTCATACGCCCCCCCCGTCCCCCCTCCCAAAAAAACATAAAATAATAATAATAAAAATAAAAAACCTGCACGTTTCAGCACAGGCACCACTGCACGTTTCAGCACAGGCACCACCGCATAATAAAAATACACAGTATTACACACAGAAATCGAGAAATGGTTTTCATTCTTTTTTTGTTTGTTTGTTAAGACTCAAAAGTCATATTTCTGCAAGACCCTGCCCTTCAGCTCCTGACTCGATCAGTTTCACTTTCTTCTGTTAGTCTAGGGTAGGCTGGAAACATACTGGTTATCTCTCGTCTTCTGTACGCTCTAGTCAGCTGTCTGTATGTGTGCGTCGTCAGCTTGTCGTATTCGGAAGCAATTCGTCATCTCCTTGACTACGAAGAGCTCCTAAATGTCTTTTGAAAAGTGCAACTCAGAGTCAAATTATTTGTCTGGCTAGGCTGGATTTGGGTGTAGTTGCAGTGATTGTTGTGGCAGCATTGCCCTTCTATATGTTCTAGCTCGGCTATGTACGTCCATACGTTAAACCTCTTGTTGCTCTGTTGTGTTTTGGTCTGTTCATCTGCAGCCCAAGCGATATTGGCAACCAAGGATGTAGGTGATGCGGTCAGCGTGCTGCAGAATATGGCAAGTTCTACATTTGATAGCAGCCAACTTGTTTTGATCGCAAGCATGGGTTATGCGGATGTTACAGAGGAGCTCCTGTGCAGTGTTCGCGAAGAGTACAGACCATCTGTGCTTGAGAGTGTGGAGGCAAGGACGATTGAACTTTCACGGTGGAGAACTACCTCGGATGAGAAGCGCAATGATAAATCAGAACCAACGAGTAGAAGATTTGACTATGAGCCTGAGAGTGAGGACGATCGGCATCAGCAAGATTCCACAAAGAGCAGTCCTCTGATTGAAGACAAGATGCCCGTCGAGCACGATGGCCGAAAAAAGGAGGAGAGGATCACATGGTCTGATGATGAATCTTTTGATGTGACTGAGCTTATCACCCAGGTACTCCTTGCTGGGTTCAGGAAGTGTTGCCTACTCATTGTCTGAAAAAGAAGATAATTTTGAAAAGTTCCACTGTGTACTCTTGTGGATGGCTCATTGCCAGTGTCCTATTTCTTCTCCCTCCTGCCCACATGTGTGTTTGCACTTGTGTGCTTTGGTCTAACCTGATGACGACGTATGATTGTGCTTCTGTGAGTTTGAGAAGAGATGGCAGTTGTAAAGGTGTTGGACTCCATGTATTTCCCTTTGGTGAAGAATATAAAGTTATAAACATTTAGTTACTGACGAGTATCGACATTTTGTTGCTGAAGAATCTTAACATTTGGTCAGTTATTTAGAACAGATTGATGGCCATCGGCCATGGACCGTCAGCATGGATTCCGGGCTTATTCCTCTCGCTGCAATTAGAACGATTGTTGGGCTTGGATTTGTCATGATTGTCCTCTATTTTTGTTTTCGCTTTTTTGTCTGCTGCCTGGCAGAGAGATGGAATCGCTTCCCCTGCTGTTCTATTGGCAGTCATGTGATGCTTAAGGGTGATCCTTTTTTTCCGTCTTGGATACAGCCAGCAGCTGCTTTTGAATAATGGAATTGCAAGTTCTTATAGTTTGCAGTTTTCTTTGCTCGGTCAGTTAACGTTGAAGTATTATCGTCTATCTTTCTGCTCATGGCATGGATGATGCTGGTCTTTTGATGCTTTTTTTGTGGTAGGTGAAATGGCTAAAGGGAGAGTTGGCTAGAGCATTGGAGGCTGAACAGTTATTATCAATGAGGTATGTCTCGTCGGGGAATGCGAATGAAGGAATCCCATAGTACTAAACATGAAAACTTATAGGTCATCAGCAGGTGATCGTACGACTCGCATCTTGATGGCATGGTGAAGAAGCCTGTGATATGGACTGTGTTCTTCCCTGGTTTTACGCCTCACTCACTCGGCAATCCCTGTGGACGTTCCAGCGTGCAGAAAGAACCAAACTTCCCGATTGTACTTAGGGATTTCTATTCTTGTGTCTCACTGTGACCCTGATTATCTACTCCTTTCCACCACCTGCTTTCTCCCATTTCAATTATTAGTGGTTGTTTATGCTACTATGGTGATCGGATTTCCCAAATGCCATTTTCATGCTAGTATTTGTTGGTGCGATATGCTTGCATCTGTATTTACCAAGATATTTCTCATCTTGTTGTTGCTGACAGAGCGGAGATATTAATAATCTATTATCTAAGTTTTATTTATTGAAGTTTTATTCCATTAGAGTTAGAGGGCTGTGGCTTAAGCCGAAAGCAGTAGGCTTGTGATCGACCATGGTAATGTACTATGGATACTATGGATACTCTGAGATCCACCATTCTGAAAGGAGGGACCGAGTAGAGGGCTGTGGCTTAAGCCGAAAGCAGTAGGCTTGTGATCGACGTGGATCTCTCACGGTTGTGATAGAATGTGTCAATCCAAGTTGGTATGCCGATGAACTGTTGAAACACAGACCTGCGTTCGAATCCAGATGGAAGTAGATGAATGAAATACCTGAAAGGGGGGAGAGGAAAAGAGAAGGGAAATTTAGGCTCCCGATAAGATGTGTGAGGGTCCTGAGGCGAATGATGTGGAAGTGTTGGCACTGTGAGGAGGATCCAAGCCATCACCTTGGGGAAAGGTAATGTGTTCCACTTCCGGACGCTCGAAGCTTCTTTTCGAAGTTGGGAATGAAGGAAGGACAGACGCAGTTATTTCGTCTTTATATTTGTTTTTAGTGGGATGGAATCGCCACGAAGAGTCCTAAATTCATGAGGTCAACTGCCATTTGTTTCACATATAGTCTCTGAGGATCCTACGCAGACATATGTTGGTTTCCTGCGGATTATGCCAATTACATTTCAGTAAGGTGAACTCGTACATGTATCGAATTTGACACACAAAACAAAGGGCCGAAGGCCAGAGCACGGTCCCGCTTGGACAGTGTGTGCGGAATTCGTAATGTAGATGGCTGCCATTTGCAAAAGCAATTCTGTCTCAAATATTGATTTCTTATTCCGAGATCGGAGCAGCATTTTCTAATTCGTTCCCAGATAACTCTCCGCAGGTTACGGGAGTTCAATGCCATGCGGGATCAACAACGAGTGTTGAATGAAGAGAGAGCAGCATTGAAAGAGCAGGTATGCTTGTTCGCCATGTGATGGCGACTAGAACCGTCCGATGCCCACAAAGAAGAAGAGGAAGGAGGAGGAGGACGAGGAGGAGGAGGAGGAGAAGGGCAAAGATTGCAATCTTTTATACTGCCATAGGTTCTCTAAGAAATCCCTTGTGTTGAAGAAGAACAATGATCGCAATCATTTGTACCAGCATAGCATTTTTGAGAGAGCTACGTGCAATATTCTTGTTCTTTTTTTTTCCTACTTTTTAAAGGGAAGATGATGGTAGTGTGTTGGGGGCAAAGTTATGCTGTGCTCCTCTCTTTGAATGGTGCTCGTTTCCATTTTCCCATTGAAGAAAGAGCAATCAGCTGGAAAGAAGTTAATGCAGCCACAGGTCAGCCAACAGCCACCTTGTTGTTACGACTTCACCTCAGTTTATAAATGTCGTAGGAATGAACATGGGCATGGTATCTCATTATTAATAAGATGAATATATCTTGATAAGATGCGAACTCGTATATTTTGAATAACAAAAATAAAATTTTCTGAAATTGCACCATTTCTGTTAGGAATAAAAGCTTCGCTTTCTTGTTGACTTGATGGAACGATTCGAAGCAGGATGTCTGCAATGATCGTAAATATTTTATCAATAAACTAATTAAAATTATCGTTTTTTTAAGACTAGACGCATGGTTCGTTTCTATTTGTGGACGATTCTATTTTGTATGTTTACCAAATGAAAACAAAAGAATAAAATCAGTAAAACAAATAGAAAAAAAAAAAATGTTTTATGAATTATATTTGCTAATCTCTCTATCATTGTTGAATAAAATGCTTAACTAATTTTCAAATTTGTATCAATGAATAGGATATTAATGTTGTTATTGATGCGTCATCTCTTTGGACTGCAATTATGTCGAGCCCTGTGAGGAGTGTGAAGTAAAATACTCAGCAATGAATTTGAACTGCTTGCGCTGCTGTTTATGTCATTGTGTACCAGGTTGAGCTCATGCACATTGAACTTAAGGACACCAAGGAGTTGTTGAGGGAGAAGGAGGACCATACAAAGGCTCTGACGGAGGTGAGAAAGGTGCAGTTGTTGGTCTCCTGCAGTTTGGATGAATCTCCGCTAGCTCTCATCTCTATGGAGCTGTCCCTAGAATCCGGCTGACGGAGTCTCCGTGTCCCTGCATTGGTCGTGTTCTCTCTCTCTCTCTCTCTCTCTCTCTCTCTCTCTCTCTCTCTCTCTC